TTATTACCCTTCAATCGTTTAATGCAGGTACTAACTACAAAATAACAATAAATCCAGTTCGCATTTATGACGATGTATCTCTGTAGTTGTTCGTAAAATAATTTTTTGCTGCGAACTGGATTATTTTGGGCAAAAACCCATGAGACATTTTTATTTAGAATGAAACAGGCTATCGAAAATAAGTTTTTATATGGTAAACAAATAATAAGACAAAAAGTTACATTGGAAATAAATTTTAGGGGTTGCGTTTTCCATCCCTTACAACCATGTGGTAAACCAAATAAATTTCTGGCTAAGTGTCTTTTTGGTACTACAAAACGTCAGGTTGATTTCAATATTGTAACTTTTTCAGTGCTTGTGAAAAAAATTGTTATACAAATTTTATGTACCCCCTTTAAGGGGCTGTATCTTAACAAGGGATGGTCCAATGAAGTTTCTTTATATGAAAGATCCTATCTTTTTTTCAATGAGGAATCACCTCCTTAAATGTTTTACACTTATTCAGTTACACCCTGTATATGATTAAATAATGATGATAAGTAAATTCCTTAGTGGTTTCATACGTTAAATGTCATAAAAGTCAGATCTTGGTATTTTGATTTGCCCTCATCGTGCTGGTAAACTATCTGAAAACTGGATTAAAAATAGGTTATGACCACACGAAGCACCAAGGTGAAAAGTAAGCATTTTAATACTTGTTATGCACTGTTTGGAACCTTTGGTGCGGTAACGAATATCACTAGAGTTTTTTCCAACACCAAACCGTAATTTTCAACACCTCGACACGTGTTTCGATCACCAAGTGATCATCTTCAAGAGGAAGATCAAACTCCTTCCTCTTGATCCATTCAAAAAAAAAAAGATATAGAATTGCGATGAATGAATGGATGACGTTGATCCCAGGTAAAAGCAGATATATCTAACAGGTTGGAAATTTATGACAGATAGATCTGATCCATCTGTAGGAACCAATGCGAATGAAGGAAAACACGATTTATGGAGGGAGATTGTGGTAGACCTGATATACCCACGCAATCACTTCTAAGCACCTCCAGGTAATAATTTTCATCAGCTGAAATGGTAGGCCAATTTCGAAGGCTGCTCTAAGACATAACATACTACGAAATAGTTGGAAAATGTCTTTTGCTATCATAACGGATACTCGGAAACAAGAGGAGATACGAGAGAGAGAGAGAGAGAGAAGGAGAGAGAGAGAGAGAGAGAGAGAGAGGAGAGAGAGAGAGAGAGGCAAATACTAACCAGAAGAAGAAAATTGAGGTTTGTTTGAATGTGGTTGACAATGAAAAGAAATTTGAGGAATTGAGCATCAGAATAAAAGAATAAACAATGAAAGAGAACGAAGATTGAAAAAGCAAACAACAAAGACTCTGAAAATATCTCATTCATATTTTTCGGATTCTGACATAGTATTGTCATACATAAAACAAAAAATTTCAAAAGGTTTCTATAAAGGCAAAAGAAAATGTAAACGGAGCTGGTGTTGTGTGCAATAGGAACTGCAGAAATAGTGATCAACAGTGGTTCCAAAGCAAAAGTAGTTCTGATTTTGCACATGAATCGTATGGTGTGATAATGTCCCTTAATTTCCGCTGTCAGAATTGTTTTAGATCATTGAAATGTTCAATTTTATTTACGTGCGTTACTATTCAATTAACTACTTAAGTTATACTTGAGTTTATTATACTTTTACTGTTTTAAATATCATGTAATGAAACTTATTTATGTTTTTTCAACTAATTGTCAGGATTCTTGTATATAATGTGACTCTTTCATAACTTTTGATGGCCCTTTCAATGTTCTTGTGATACGAAAGAGAATTACATCACGTATTTAATGATACTATTACAACTCAAGTTTATTCCCAAGATATTGTTGTAAAACAGCCCCGAAAAAAAATAACGCCGGCCGCCGCTGGTCGTCGTGAATCAATTGAGACGTGGCAAAGATTCCGCTCAACTCGACTGGTGCTCCGCGACTGTTCTAGTCTTCGCGTCGCTCCGATAGACTTATAGCGAATTCCCTATCGGCTTCGAAATTGTCACGTTTCGGGGTCTGTTCTTTGCTTTTACGCAACCAAATCGATCCTTTTTTAGATCGGATCGTCACGTGCGATGAAAAGTGGATTCTCTACGACAACAGAAGTTCCGGACGTTGGTTGGACACCGATGAGCCACCCAGGCACTTCATGAGTCCATTCATTGCGCTAAATTTCGGAAAAATCGCCATTCTTCAAGACGCTTGAAGTAATTTCCCGACATTATCGTATGGAATATCGTTCCGAGTACAACTGGTAAATGCAATTTGCCATAATTCACTATAAACTAGCTGCATACGAACTTTTTTCTCAACTTATTTTTGTTATCAATGCGATCTCCAACCAACTAACCATAACAGTTCATAGAAACTCCAAAAATCTTATTATTTCCTAACAACTTCTCCGATAACCCGTCAGGATCTAAAAGAGGTCTGAAGGAGTTAAGTCGGGTGATTTTGCAGGACACCTGACAGAACCATGTGTTCCAATCCATAATTCAAATATCAACGATGATGTATCATTGGATTCAGAAAATTATGTAGATATCAAAAGTGTAATAGTATACAGGGTTTTTCATTTAAAATTTTAACTTTGATGTCATTCTGGGAAAAACAGGAAGTTATAAAAATCTTCCGTTACGTCAAAAATAACCACTTCGAGAAATAGCATGATAAGTAAAGAAAATAAAGGAGAGGGACCATGAGTCTGTGACACCCGGTATGTAGTGCGAGATCTAAAGTCTATCCAAATCCAAGATAGAGTGGATGTAAACATTGACATGCCCTACGCACGTGATATTGAAAATCCCAATAATTGACCAGGGTCGTATTCAGAACCAACATCTTGTTGATCGCAAATGCTATATCATACTTAGGAAAACTTTTTTATAATAACGAGTGAAATGCACAAGTTTTGCAGTTTAACGGGAAAAATGCAGATAATGTGTAATATTATTCTGATTTGTATTCGGTTTGGAAAATGTATGATTTTGTTTATATTCCCGTAAAACACTGTAAATCGAAGCGCAACACACTCCAATTTTATCGGAAACTTTCGATACGACTTCGTTGATAGTCGATGTCTCCATGTCTTCCATCTCTTTCTTGAACACATATAAAATTACTTCTTTCATCTCAACACTCAAATTTCTTTTTTTTGAACCGTTTCCTGGCTGGACTCAGAGGATAGCTCACAGTGTCATCAGCAGTGTCTGTACTGGACATCTTGGAAAACAATTTTAAACAATATACTATAACGCACGCTATACAAACACGCAAACGACTGATTACAACCCTGTGCTGGTACCGAACTCGTACCAAGAAGGCGAATTCACCAATGAACGCTGCCCTTTCCATCTGACACTGGGCGATCACGTGAACATCACGCTTCGGTTTTGTTTTGTTTCACTCTATCTTGGATTTGGATAGACTTTAGTATTTGCAAACAAATTCAAATGCGAAAAGATCGCCCCTTCGAACTTTCAAAACAGTTCAATATCGTTTGTGCAAAAATATAAAACCACATCCCAGTCCTCTAAACGGGGATATCGGACAGGTAGCAGGTAAAAAGTAAACATCTCATATTGCATAACGAACAGCGTTAGGGTGGTATGTGTATGCGTCGAGAAAGACAGCCAAATCCGACGGTGTGTGTGTGTGAGAGTTGGTGAACTTTGTCTGGTTTGGGCCAGACAGTGCAAAAAACGATGGGTTGATGACCCGAAGCCCCGTCGACGGCACAGACCCCCGACACGACGTTGCCAAATCGGGCGAAAATGCGTCTCCAGCAGAAATGAAACACGACGGTATTTATTTCCAGCAATCCTCGCACGTTTGCAGAACATACTTCGATTTGGTGTTGCTGCTGAATTCTTTCGTGGAGTGTGCATCAGCCAAGTGGAATGAATTCGTTAATAAATGAATGGGGTCGTGTTAAAAAAAACGCTCGAACACGGGGTACGTTATGTAACAGTTGCCACTCAGACTTTTATTCTCAGTGTAACGCCCTGTATATTATTCATTAATAAAATATTCTATATTTCACGTGAATTATCTTCTATGTAGCATCTTCAATTGTTATGGAAATATTGAGTGTTTTCAGATTTATTTCAAACATTATCATTAATGAAAAATAAAATCGTTTGAGTGATAAGTAATTCCGTTTGTTTCTTGATAATGTGAAAAAACAAAAAATATAAAAGAGTCTAATGACGTTTGATTAAGAGGACTGGCTGACCATCCCAT